CCCCTGACCCCGGCCCCCCCGGCCCCGCCCCCCCCGCCCGGGGGCTGCCGCCGCCCCCCCCGCCACCTTCCCAAGCGTGCGGGCAGCCGTGGCCTGCACCGTCCAGGTGCTGCAGGCAGCCGTGCCCGTGGCCCGCATCGGTGGGTGCAGGGGGCCGGCAGTGGGGTCAAGGGGCTGGGGGCCGGCGGCGGGGCTCCGGCGGCCGCTTCAGCGGTTGGGGGCTGCCGGCAGCGGCCACGCTCCTCCTGGAGCTCCACGGCTCCCGGCGGGGGCTGGCCGAGCAGCAGCAGCAGACAGGTAGGGACGGCGCCGGCACCGGGAGGGGCTGACCGGGGTCAGGGACAGCGCGCCTGGGGCTGGGGGCCATGGTGGGCACCCAGGGATGGGCGCCCAGGGACAGGGGACGGGGGGATCGGAGGTGTCCTGGGGTGAAGGACAGGTGCCCAAGAGTGGGATGTGGGGCACCTGGGGGGTCAGCAGGGCGAGGGATGGGTGCCCAGAGCTGGGGACTGGAGGACTGAGGGTCTGGGGGGGCTCGGGGATGGGGATGGATGCCCAGGGCCAGGGGGAGCAGGGATGGGTGCCCAGGATGGGGACTGGGGGTCCCAGGGCAAGGGCCGGGTGCCCGGGGCTGCTGCGGGTCCCGTCCCCATCGCAGGGCTCCCGGCCACCGGCAGAGGAGATCGTGAGGCTGAACGGCGGCTCCAGCCCGGCCTGGGCGGAGGAGCCGGAGGAGCGCGGGCGGCTCTGGGCCATGCGCCACAGTGCCTGGTACGCCGCCCTGGCCCTGCGGCCCGGCTGCCAGGTGAGGACGGGCACGGGGACGGGGATGATGGCGGCAGCGCCCCATGGAGCTGTGGCCGCCACGGCTCTGCCCTGCCCGGCCCAGGGCTACTCCACGGACGTCTGCGTGCCCATCTCCCGCCTGCCCGACGTGGTGGTGGAGACCAAGCGGGACCTGCAGGACTCCGGCCTCACCGGTCAGCGGGGCCGCGGGGGGCGGTTAGGGGGCTGCCGTCCTGCCTGCCACGCCCCGCCTGACCCGCGGCCCCGCAGGCCCCATGGTGGGACACGTGGGCGACGGCAACTTCCACTGTCTCCTCGTCTTCGACGCCCAGGACCCGGCCGAGGCCGGGCGCGTCCACGCCTTCACCCAGCGCCTGGGCAGGTGGGGATGGGGACCCCCCGGGGGGATGAGGACAGGGGGACAGATGGCCCTGTGCCATCCCCTGACCCCCCTGTCCCACAGGCGGGCGCTGGCGGCGGGGGGCACCTGCACCGGGGAGCATGGCGTGGGGCTGGGCAAGCGGGCGCTGCTGCTGGAGGAGCTGGGCCAGGAGGGGCTGGACACCCTGCGCCGCATCAAGGCCGCGCTGGACCCCCACAACCTCATGAACCCCGGCAAGGTGCTCTGAGGGGGGCACCGGCACCTCGCCGGCAGGGGGACGGCAGCCCCCCAGAGTCAGGGCCGGGGGGGCCCCGCTGCCCTGTGCTGCCACCCGCCCTGTTCCCCCAACCCCCCAATAAACCCCTTGGCACCTGCAGCCTCCACATGCCGCGTTGTCTTTGGGGGGGACAGGACACCCCAGCCCCTGCCCAGGGCGTCCCTGTCCCAAGCGGCGCACACAGACACCCACAGGGAAGGGGGACCGGGGGGGGACCCGCTTTAGCCGCTTCCCCAGAGCCGCAGTGCCGGTGCTGGAGGGCTGGGAGCCCTCTGGGACGTGCCGAGCACCGCCACGGCCCCCCCCACACCAAGGTCGACATGGTGACAGACCGACCCTTTGGGTCAGGGACCCCCAACAACCCCCTTTGCACCCACGCCCTCCCTGCGCTGTGATGTCTTTTGAGGTGACAGGACACCTCAGCGACTCTCCAGTGGGTCTCTCCCCACAGCAGGCACACGCAAACACCCAGGAGCTGGGAGGGTTTCTAGGTAAATCTTTATGCTGCTGGGGGGCAGGGGGCTGAGTTTCGGGGGGCTGCGACTCCGTAGCTCCGGGAACCAGCAGAAGCTTCCCCTGTGTTCAAAAGGCACCAATTTCAGTTTGCGTTTCCGTTAGAGCTGGTCCGGTAGCAAAACCCGAGACGTGAGAACGCACACGTCAGACCCTTCCTGCCCCCAGCCCCCCCGTCACCCCTTACCCCCCTGGGCAGCCTTTTCCACTGCCCCTGGTGCAGGGGGACAGCACATCCCATCCCTCCCCTGCTGCTCCCCAACACGGGCTGCCCTACTGCGAGGAGTAGCTTCCACACAACTGAAATGCGCTGGAGACCACTCGGGAGCCCCCCCAAGAGGGGAGCAGCCACAGCATCACCCCAAATTGCCAGGCACAGCCCTGTCTCAATTCAACAGGGATCCTGCCTCCTGGCTCGGAACGCCCACCAGTTTTGTAGAGAGAGGATACTGCGGAGGGAATGGGCACAGGCACAAATTCACCTCCCAGCTTTCCTCCATCATGGGCACAGCTCCAAAACCAATCCTGGCCTCTGGCCGGAGGGAAGGGGGATGATGGCCGCAGCCCCTCACCCCTCTACCAGCGGAGCCCCAGGCCCCCGGTGAGCGTGCGAGTCTCTATGTACATGTCCGCTTACACCGAGCAGAGAGGGGTCTCATGGAGGGGGATGCGTGTCTGGGGAGAGGGTGGGGGCCACGGGGAGGGGACAGCAGCCCAGGGCCATCACATAGCCGCCAGCTGGCCCAGCACCATCCTGAACTGCTGTGTGCTGTTAGCGAGGTCCTTGACGCGCTCCACCATGTCCTTAGAGGCAGCGGGAGAAGGATAGTGGAGGGCAGCTGCCTTGGTGGTCACCACGATCTCTTTGAGCATCTCGCAGAGGAGGTTGCTGTAGTGCATCACCTTGTGCTGGACGTCCTGGGCCTTGGCCTGGCGGGACAGCGTGTCCCCGATGAAGACGAGCTTGTGGGCGCTGAGGATGACGAACTTGCTGTGGGCCACAAAGATCTTGGGGGGTTGGTTGGTGCTGACAGCGGTGAAGAAGGCGTCAACGGCGTTGGTGAGTGTGGTGAGGTTGGCCTCGCACTGCTCCAGGTAGAAGAGGAGGAGCTGGCGGTCGGCAGGACACAGGGCCCCGCTGCCCCGCGCTGGGCCGTAGTGCTGGGGGGGGCTCCAGTTGGACAGGTCGTTGTCGATGGGGCGTGTCACCTCCTGCTCCAGCCGCTCAAACTGCTTCAGCTGCAGGAGGGATGGGTGTGAGGCAGGATGGCCATCGAGCCAGTGCCCGCTCCCCTCCCTGGAGCCACCAGCACAGGTGGCCATGGCCACCGGCCCTGGGTGATGGCTGTGCCCCAGGGAGAACAGCAAGGGACAGTGCCAGCCCCAGGACAGCCGTGCCAGGCTCCTCTCCAGGAGCAAGGTGCCGATACCGCTCTCTGCTGGCACAGTGTTGGCATGGGAGGCAAGCCAGAACCCACCACGGGGACAACCAAGCAAGAGGGGGCTGCGGTCCAGACCAGCAGCAGAGGGTACAAGGGGAGCAAGACCCAAAGCCCCCTGCCCACCCCAAGAGCTGCGCCCAGCGGTGCTTGCCCGCCCTGGCTCCGTTACCTGCTGGTGCTCCAGCTGGTCCTTGCTCTGCCGGATGATGTTGCCTTTCTCCAGCAGCTCCTTCTGGGTCTTCTCAAACTCCTCCTTGCCCTGCAGGGAAGGAAAGGGTGTGACATGGGGGTCAGCAACACCAGCCTTGCTGGGAGCAAGCCCCTGCCTGCCCTGGGACACCCCTGGTTCCCACAGTCCTCAAGCCGGAGGGTAAAAGCAAGATGTGGGTAGCAGAAGCACCACCACAGTCAGAGCTGCCCAATGCCTGTGTACCGGAGAGTCACTGGCACAAAACCCACCCGTGGGGAGCAGCCCCCCTGCCCGTGCCCACCTGGAGGTGGACATAGTCGTAATCCTCCATCCAGCCACTCTCACTGTTCTCGTAGGGCCCATCAGGCGACTCCTGGGCCAGCAGCTTGGGCGGGGAGGGCAGGGGCCGCGACTGGATGCTGCTGGCCTTGTCGGAGGGGTGAGGGGGCCCGTGGCCACCGCTCTCCGCCGCCGGCTTTGTCCGTTTGAAGAGAAGGGAGGCGTTGCCGTGCAGGAAAGAGGCCAACTGCTTGGTGTCATCGGGGACGCCGCGCGAGTGCATGACGAAGTGCTCCAAGTCATCCGTGCCTGGCTTGCCACCAGCCAGGGCGCTCGGGGCCCAGTGGCAAGCATCCAGTGCTTGGCCATGCCGTGCCAGGGCCTGGTAGACCTCCTCCATCTTCTGAAGCTGCTTGCTGAGCTTGGTGTAGAGGGAGCGGTCGGAGGCCTGGGCGGCATTGCCCACCGCCCCCCGGGCAAACTCCAGCAGGTCCCGCAGGGCCGTCCGGACGCCCTCGGCCGCCCCGCGGATGCTGGCGGCATTGGCCTCCATGTGCTCAGGGCTGCGCCAGTTGGCGCCGATGAAGGACATGAGGTAGGAGACGGCACCGCCGACGCCGTGCTGGAGCTTGGCCAGCATCTCCATGGCGGCATCCAAGTCCAGGGAGAACTCCTTGCTGGCTCCCTTGGCCGGCTCCTTCACGGGCACCACATCCAGCGAGGACGTGGAGATGTTGCTGCGGGTGCTGCCCGTGCTGGAGGCCGAGAGGCGTTTGCCATCAGCGCCCTTGGCCTCGCGGTCCACTTGCGGTGGGACGTCGTAGATGTACTCGCCCTCTGTGTCCAGGGAGCCCTTGCCCAGGGCGTGCAGGTCCCGGGGCACGTCGTACACCTCCTGGGAGGGGAAGGCCGACCCCCCCAGCTTCTTGAGGCTGGGGGGTACGTCGTAGATCTCGTGGGAGAGCGGCGGCTCAGGGGCACCTTTCCCAGCCGTTGGTGGCACGTCATAGACATCCTCTGGCAAGTAGGGCTCCTGCTGGGCCAGGATGAGGGGGTGGCGTGAGGGGTCGAAGGTTTTCTGCTTGGCGAAGGCGGGGGGCACGTCGTAGGTCTCCTCCCGTGCCGGGCCATCCGGCACGTCCTTGCTCACTGAGGGGGGGACGTCGTACACCTGCAAGGGCAACAGCAGGCACTGTCAGCGTCGCCAGGAGAGCCAGCCTGGGTCACGTGTGGACACGCAGGCAGGCTGTGCCGTGCTGTGGCGCACATAAGTGCCAGCCCCGGGTGCACGAGACAGTGCTTGGGTGCCCACCAGGACAGAGCCATGCACCCCATGGGCACCCCTGTTCCCAGGGAGGCTGGCACAGCCCTGCCACAGCACCCCCAGCCTCCCGCATCCCTTTTGGGACAGGAATCACAAAATCCGAGAGCAGCTCAGGTTGGAAGGGACCTCAAAAGATCATCTGGTCTGAGCTCATCCCCTAGATGAGACGATCTAGCACCCTGCCCCTTACATCTTGAAAGCCTCCAGTGCCAGGGACGTCACCATGCCCCTGAGGAGGTTGTTCCAGTGAATGTTTGTTCCCACTGTAAGATGTGTCTTATATGGAGAAGCTGGGAGCTTCCCAGCAGCACTTACAGTTTGGTGCGGGTTCTTCTCCACACTGGGGGGCACGTCATAGATCTCCTGCCCTAGGTCCTGCCCATTGGGACCCTTCACTGCCATGGGAGGCGTGTCGTAAACCTGGAGGGGACACACACGCAGGACAGCGTGTCAGGGATAGCGTGGGCACCCACCTCCTCCCAGGGACCAGTTGGGAAGGATGAAGGCACCAGAAGAAGCCCCAAGGCCCATAACGTGCCCAGCTTTGGGTATAATTTTCTCAGGTTTGGATCCCAGGCTGTGCCAGAGCATCTCCCGCACTGGGGGATGGAGCCAACGACCCCCCTCCGTGCCCCCTGCCCAGCCTCACCTCCTGGCTGAACTGGCTTGGGACCCCCCCTCGGACAGGTGGCACGTCGTAGATCTCCTGGGAGCCCGCGGAGAGGAGGTGGCGAGGGAAATCGTACTCATCCTGCTCGCCCTTGGGGGAGTCATAGACGTATGCTTGCCCCATGCGGGTAGGCACCAGCACCTGGCAAGAGGGAAAGGGCAGAGGTGGGCACTGCCGAGCATCCCCAGCCTGCCCCCTGCCAGCCCCCCCAAAACCCAGCGATGGGGCTAGAGAGTGG